AATCCAATAGGGTCATAAAAGCGGGCAACTTGACTGAGAAGCGTTCTCTTGGTCATCTTTATTCCACAGTCCACTGAACGATTTTTCAGGCGCGGTAAATCCACTTTAACTTTGAAGCTGAACTCATCTGTAATGTAATTCCAGATCACTCCAAGCACCTTTTCTTCAACTTCTTCCTGAAAAATGTTGAATCCCTTTTCTTGATTTTCTGTGTTGATCAGAACTTTGTTAAACGTCCATCCCTTCATGGCAAACCCTCTACTCTCGAGTACTTTGTCTACATCTCCAGTCAACTTCTGAGCCTGTACTACAGTGTCTACAGAACCGCAAATGTCATCCATGTAAGAATTCTTTGTGAGCACTTCGGCTGCTTCCGGGTAGTCCTTTTTGTTTTCTTCAGCTGTTTTTCTTAATGCAATTTGGGCGATAGCAGGCGGCGGCTTATCACCAAACGTCAGGTTTTTTTTATGTACACATCAAGTTCTCTCTCCGTTTCCAAATTTCTCCATAGGAACCAATGGACATGTTAATCCTTTTCCGGGTTGAGTACTCGGTGATACATTTTGGATATGTCACCCATCACTGCTACTTCTCTTTCTCTAAACCTCAAGACAACTCTATCAGATTTTTCAACAGATTGGGTCACTTTATGTGCCACTATGATCAAAATTTCGCATTGCCTTTTCTTTCCACTTCTGCAAACTAGAAGTAATGAACACTTACCATGCCAAGTTGAATCGCAAAATTCGCTCGAGAAGTATGATTATTTCAACCTTGTTTTTCGGGTTTGGTCACCCGCCATTACTCAATTAAAAAATGGCCGAGTGTGGCCAAAAGAGTTGGCACTAGTTGGAGCCTTTCGGACAACGTGTCCTCCAGGTCGAAATTAACTGATATCAGTAATTGCCAAATGACACCAGATTAACAGATATCGACAATCCCGCCAAGTGGTGTGCTCGGGTTAGACTGGTACCCGAGTTTGCAAACATGGCGGAGCAAAGTGAGTATATATATTCGCTTCTCATGATAAATTATTTCTACGAANTCTTCTTCGTCGTTCTCGAAAAAGAGATCAAACAAAGCAGAAAAGACGTACCGTTTTTTTAAAGATTCGACGACTGGAAGGCGTATCATGCACACTGAGTATCGGCCAAGAAGCAGATCTGGAAGCACACAAGAGCCGGAAGATGAAGAAATTCATGATTTTGACATCACTGCCAAGAACGTTCTTGGTCAGTCTCACGGTAGTGCTTTACCATCAAAAAGAAATTCTACTTTCTTAAAGATTGAAAAATCTGGGAGATAAAAAGCGATTTTCCATTCAGGTAGCTCTTTTGCTTCCTCTCAGCGGAGTGAACATTAACCACTAAACTCCTTGAATGTCAAACATCCCTTCCAAAATAGGAGGAGGCTTAATTTATTTCCAGGAGATTTGGTTATCCTTTCAAGGGGCAATTATTCTACACTCGGAAAACTCCTATAATTATTATTACACCACATTATTTGTTTACTACAAAAATAACAAATTTTCTAAATAAAAATGAAATTTAAAAAAAATTGATATATAAATACTTTTATTTACCCTTGGCAGTGTTCTACTAATGGTGCACCGTGTAATCAGCTACAGAACACTCACTTATCTTTACAATATTGATGATTATTCCAGATGATGATATGCTGTCTTGTTTGGAAGAACAAGAATTCCCATCTATAACACCCTCAGCTGCCACAAGTATGTGCCTCTATCATGCCTTAATTATCAATTTATTGTATTTTAAAAATAATCAGGACCATGTGAATACGTTTAAAAAAAGTTAGGCTCGTAGAAGATGTGGTAGGCACAGTTTAGTGTTGTTTTCCTTTATTACAGTGTAGGTGACTTAGCCTGTGCCTTGGAAGCAGCAAACAGCCTTTTGGAGGAGTGGCGTGTGAACAAGGCACCATCAAATCAAAATTGGGAGCAGCGAATATCAAATCTGAATGAAAGCTGGGCAGGTGTTCGGCAAAAGTTATTTAATTCTGTTCTCTCCACTTCTGGAATTCATCCAGAAAGGAGCATGTGCTGCAAATGCTTGAAGAATCCAGCTGTTATTCACTGCTGCGATTGTCACATGCACAGACAATTATGTGGTGCTTGTGATCAATCTGTTCATGAAATACTACCATTTCATGATCGCAGTGCATTTAAAAGTAGATTTCTTAAGCCAATTCCACCCACTGTTTCAGTGGATCATAAGGGAGAGTGGGTCTCTGTAGGTTTGTGTTTTTTATTTATTTCTATTTTGTCTTACTTTGATAAGTCTCAGTTTTATACAAGTTTGAAGTAAATTCATTTCACTTTGTCTATCGTGATGATATAATAATATTGGAAGAAAGGTTGATTCTCGCCTTCAAATTTTCTTTGTACAGGCTCACTAAAATTAATGTTGATGATTTTCTTTCAGATCGTCACCTTCCATTTTCAGAAATGTGTTTAATATGTCCTTTTTGTAACATCTGCAACATGCAGAGAACAGGCAAAGAACAGTTGTGTAGTAGTTAATCCACGGGGTGAGATTCTGATTAAATCTATTTTTGAAGGAAAATATTTAATATGTTAATTCAAATATTAAAATCTGCCTATTTAATAATGTATGTTGTTTAACTGGGCTTAACTTGATATGTTGTCAGGTAATAAGTTATTTCTTCAACACGAAACTGTTGATTAGACTTCAATTCCAATAAGATCCAAAACACTGAACAATGTGTCAAAACACTGTCAAAATGATTTTTACAATCAAACCAATTTTTATCTCAGGATCTTTAGTTGGGAACTTGTATGAACCCATCATCTACTCATTGTTCTATTTTATAAGTTTTTTTAAGGGAAGGTTTCAATGGATTAAGTTTACATGGTTGCCAGTGAATTGATAGAAAATTTCCAATTTATAATGAGTTGTGTAAGGCTGATCTTGTTGGATTTTGACCTCAGCCCTCTTGTTTTGAACACTGTGAAATCTTGGGAAGTGTTACAAGACATGTAATAATAATTTTGCTACTTATTCTGCTTGTTCAATTACTTTTTCCAGGCAGATTTGATGTTAGCCATGTTCTTCTCCATTGCCTTCGGTGCAATAAAGATGTGCCAACATCTAACCCACTCATTATTGCACAGCTTGGGTTTTGGCCAGGAAGTGTGAGCAGCCTGGCATACGTGTTCGATCCCAGGCTGTTCCTACACTGGGATCTTTTCCAGAAAGAAAGTCCAGGTTCATCAGAGAGGTCTTTCCTGAAGTCCCTAGAACAGTTTTCTTTACGGAAAGGAAGGGTTTGTATGGATTTCTTTCCCCCCCTTTTTTTTTTGGCGTTAGTAATTGTAGTAAGCTGGTATTTTTGTTAACCTGATAGTCTGTATGTCTTTTTAACTTGACCTTAGGCATTTTCATGCAAATCAGTGGATACATGTAGAAATTGACTT